TGGCGACCATGTGCCGGAAGGTGTTGTAGTTAATGTTCGGGTGTCTTCCGTGCGCAAAGTAGAGCACGCGGAATTCCGCGCGCGAGAGTTGCCGCGTCAGCGACACCGGGACGAACGGCAAGTTCTCGACGCCGTACGTGGACTCATCGTCGAAGGTGTCGAGCAGCAGGTCGATGTCGTCGCCGATGGAGAGGAAGACGTGCCTGCGCCAGTTGTCGAGAACGGCGACGCAGCCCGCGGCGACGAGGCGACTGGTCGCAAAGCAGTCGCGGTTCTCGTCGAACGTTCCCGTCTCCTCGATGTCGTTCTCGATGGTCGTCGCGACCATCGCGCAGTCGTGCGTGCGTACCTCCTCTATACGAAGAACGGCGTGATCCGCGACGAAGAGCCTGGCGAAGGTAGCGAGGTCGTACGCGTACTGGAGGGCCTCGTCGCCGAGCGAGCGCATCGTCTTGTCGTCGCTGTCGCGGAACAGGCGGCAGAAAGCGGCCATCGCGAGGAACGAGCTGCCTTGCGGACGCGCCACTTTGGCCGCGGCGTTGTACGCCTGTATGAAGATGACGGGCGTCGACGACAGGGTAGTCCCCGGTAGGGTCGAGTGCCGGGAGAAGTATCCGTAGTCCGATAGGAATCCCACGCGGTACTTTTGTAGCTTTCCGCGGAGCGTCGTCCCTCCGCGGAAGACGTCGGACAGCGTGTTGCTGGCGTCGCTCACGCGAACGAGCGCGCATCTCTGCGGACGTCGGGCAGCAACTCGTCCGCGCGGTGGATCTGCACCACGTCCGTGTGCGGGTGCGACACGCAGACCATCCCGTGGAGCGCCTCGTCCAGTGTCGATCTGAGGCCGTGGCGGCACGCGTAAAATCCGCATTCCCGCGCGGCGGTGGTGTGTCGCAGGATGTCGGCCATCTGCGTCGCCAGGGTCTGCCAGTCTTCGAGGGGAAGGGCGTAGTTTCCCGCGAAGTGGAACGGTCTCCACGGCAGGCCCTGCTGGACGAGCTGACTGACGATGGACGGGCCGCGGGCGGCGTGGACGACGACGCGACGGAGAAACTCGCGCTGGCACGCGACGAGTTTCCCGTCCTCGTCGACGGTGCTGTGCAGCGGCAGGTCCCGCAGCGCGGGCGAGTACGGGTCCAACTGGAAGAGGACCCACAGACGCTCGCCTCCGAAATCGCCCAGGGGAAACTCGAACAACGTACTGCCGCGCACGATCTCCTCTCCTCTGGCGAGGAAGGTGGGCTCTCGCGCGGTGTGAAACTTGGAGCGGTTGTCCAGGTAGGCCAGCAGTTTGACGTTGCGGGACGCTTTGATCTGCGTGGCGTCGAGGCACAGATTGAAGCCGGCGCCGTCGCGATCGAACGGCCTCGGGCTTCGGGCGCACGCGAGTATCGAGTCGACGTCGCGACGAACGTGCATCCTCGGGTCCTCGTCGAGGTCGTAAGGCGTCGGATTGAGGTACAGGAGGATCGGATGTGTTGGAGCATGCGCACAACACCGACGACATTTTTATTTTCTTTTTCACTTTCCTTTAGTTGGCTGTACTATGCTACTCACTGGCCCCCCAGTCTTCCCTTTTTATGTACTCAATGCCATATCGTACTTCTACAAGTTCGTTACACC